ATTTTTATCAATTCTTCCCAGCTCAAGGCCAGCCTTTTGAAAGGCACAAATCCTAGTGAAATGAAGAGTTTAACTAGATTTCAATGCAGATATATTAAAGATGGATATTTATTTCAAAAATACATACTAAGAGCTAACTATCTGTCAGGAACTGTCCTCTGCCTTGGGGATATAGCAATGGAAAAGAGTAAAAAGCTCTGAGTCCTGTAGAGTTTATATTCTATCTGTGGGGAAGAAAACCAAACAATAAACGAAATCATATAAAGAGAAACAATCTGCGATGAACATGCTAAGAAGAGAAGAAAAAAGTAATGAGACATCAATAAAACACGGTTATCTCATATTTAAGCTTCCTATATAACCTCTATATGTCCATAGATTTGAAAGACAAATATAATGCATTCGGTATGGGAACACAACTTTGATAAATATAAGAATTGGCTAAATATATAGAGATGGAAAAGTTTATTCTGATCTAATGGTCCCATTAAAGAGTGAAATGAAGAAAACTGGAGCAACAAGTTTGGTCATAGGCACACTGACAAGTAACAGCATGCTGTAAATGCACTTTAGCCATCTTAGGTAAACTGATAATGGCTATGGATAATATGCCAGTGGGTTAATGATGAAGATAAAGAAAAAAAAATAATCACACGCGTGAGAAGGGAATATGTGATACTTCATTTACCGAAGTATTAGAGCACAAGACTGAAGACTTAGCAAATGTGTATTATTTCATATTCCCCCAAAATTATCTTTTAAAATTTGTAGCATTAAAAACATTAGAAAACAGAAAATTGAACACTGTGATACATGTACTCTCTCTTAGCTTTAGAAAGGTACACTAAAATAAAAGAAAATATGATAAAAGACATCAATGGCTCTCTGGCCAACAGCAATAAACGGAAAGATATTTTTAAAAGGTTGATAGTCTTGTAAACATATAATGATAACAATGTGATATAGATAGTATCTGAAATGAAGAAAGGCAAATGGCAGCTAAAGAAGCAAAGTGGCTACATAAGAGTAATGGAGACATAGACTACTTCTCTATATAGAATACATTTCTTTGATGTGAAAATGTGTGTACGTGTATGTATGTGTACATAATATGCATATTTCTATATGTATATATGCACACATATATTTGTGTATGTATGTTTATATATATGTGTGTATGTGTGTATTAGAACAAACCACAGTCTTGATAAAATAATAAATTCATGTCAGTTTCAAAGAATGCATCCCATGATTGGGGTTATATACAGAGAGACTGCAACAAAATAGCAAGATGTTAAAGAGAAATACAATTGATTTAGTGGGATGGTTTGCTTATCTAAAGGAGGATTTCAGCAAATGTTAAGTGACCAAATGGAGAGAATGTCATAGAGTGACTTCTAATACTATGTGGATGGCTAAACTAAAAATTTCCCATTTTCTTTTTATTCCTAAAACACTATCATGATCCACTTCCTGTGAGATCTCCTTTCAGCCAACATTCATCCCATCGATCATACAAGTCTCTAAGAATTTTGTTTTCCAATTTGTTCAATTGATTGATTGTTTCAATTAATACCCATATCTGGATATTTATGACTTCTCAGTCTCAACATTCATGACTTTCCTCTTGCTCTTTGCTTAATAAATGGCATTTATTTTTCATCATTCTTTTGCTGGCTAGTTAACATAGCTAATCAAATGAACTTGTAGTTGATGCTACCAACATTTACTTGGTACTCTTGTGATTAAAATGAATAATTTATTATTATAGTAATTTTTAACTTTCAAATATAGAACTTACTTAGGATGAGCACTTGACCCAAGAAAGAAATATCACCATAGCAGAATGCCTAGATTCGACAGATCTGCTAGACTTAGCCATTTATATTGAATCACACAGCTATTATGCCAACCAACAACCATCACCACCACCAACAGAAACACATAACTGGGTTATACGATCCTAAGAGAATGAAGTTTCACAATCTCTTTCTTCAGCTCTTTCCTACATTTATCAACTCTCATAAACAGGAAATTGTGGTGTATATCTGTTCTAAGCCTTTCACCCTGTAGTATAAACTAATTTCCTTTTTCTTGATTCTCTGCACCTGGATATCTCACTAGCTGTGTGATTTTTATTTTCACAAAATAAAAAGCAGAATAAGGTCATATCAACCACACAGATCATGTATAATACTAGTCATAATGATGGACTTCAAGAAGCATCATAAAACAGGTTGGCAGTTATCCTTGCTGTGCTAAAAAGCACAATATTTTGATAACAATAACGTTCCCAGTTTGCTGAAATAAAAGATGTTAACAGCCACATATTTCCAAGGACTGGATAGAAACCGTTATAATGAAACAGAAATACATTTTGTATAAATCAGTAATACTCCCCAAACAATTTATACATCATTTACTACTTCTTATGATAGTATGGCGAATGCTTTCTGGTATTCGCTCTAGAGATAGATGCAATCATAATGCACCAGTGAAAACATAAAATTGATTTTGCTATTGCTCTCATGTAAGAGGATTACAAATTATTTTACACTTTTCAAATTCATACAACTTAATCTGGTGTGTAGTATTCAGAGCTGCTAAACTCAGTAACTACTTAAGCAATTCAGAATTTCTCTGAATAATTATGAATTACTGCATTGAAACAGAGAGTTCATGACGTTTCAAAGATAATCCTGACACAATAATTACTTCCTCTTTCCATTTATTTCACTTACATACAAATAGCTTACATGGCTAAAGAATAACCTTCCATTTTTTGATTATTAAAAAGTAACAATGTGATTTACAGAAAGAAAGGTATGTTCAAAATTAAAGAAATAAATAAACACCAAAAACTTCCATGGAAATAAACTCCTTTTCATTATCCCCAGGAATATGTTGACATTTACATTTTGGCCAGCTGAAGTTCAAATTAGATAGCTCCATAGGTGACAGAAACCCTGAGGCCTGCATGGATCCTGAGGACAAAGGTGATTGTTTCAATTATTTCCCTTGAATGGCTTATCCTGCCTTGACCTCAGCATGAAGCAAGGTACTGGGAGCCTGATGCATGCAGCCATGTAATTATGCATTTAAGTTTATCTTCTTAATTAATTTAAATATGCTTGAGAAACTTACAGGGCTTGAATCTGAACATTTCCATGGCCTGGTCACTGGATAGAATCAAGGCTCCTGAAGTGAGACAGCTGATCACAACTTCCATGAGCTTTAGAAAGAAGCTCTTTGGTAGAGGTAATCAAATGCTTGAAATTTCAAATCTTGGAGATTGGAGTGATTTTTGTTTGTTTTGTTAAAAAAAAATGAGGTTGAAAAAGTTGCTGTCAGTAACTGCTAATATGGCTGATAGTCAAAACCATGTAAAAGAATCTTCAGCCCCTAATATATGGTAAATGAATCATTAATGAAGCCCAGACATCAGTAAGAGAAGGTAGGAGCAGAGCTTAGAACTAAAAGACTAGGAGTGGAATTAGTGTAATCCATGTCAAAATAGTCTCAGGGTTGGGGGGAAGCACTGAGCCAACTCAGGATAAAGAATGGTTCAGATGCATTACCAGAGCATGGCTTAAAGCCATAATTTGCCTAGTAGCACCCAACTCCACCTCCAGCCACCCCCACACAGGCTCACAGACCTTGATCACTGACCCTGAACACATATCCATCACTAGGATATAGCTATTTTCTCTAATCCTGGAACATACTGAGTTTTGCTCAACTTTTCTTTGCCTTTCATTTCTTTTTTGATGAATACCTTTCAACATTTGCACTGTATCAGAGAAATGGAGCCCTTGCTCAGCTCATTTTTCTCCATGAGCATATGCTCTTCTATCATGATTTGCACAGTTATAGTTTTTCCTCTCAGGAAGGTTAGGCCACCTGCTCTCCCGGGGTCCTTCTACACACAACCACAGTGCCCTACACAATGGACAGATGCTGGGCTCATTTTCCTTTCCAAGATTATGTTTCAAGGTAGAATTACATGTTAGTGAACTCAGAAAGAAACTACGCTAAATCAATATACAGCAGAGTTTAAAAAAAAAAAAAAAAAAAAGGCTGCCCAATATACAAAGATCAGTGAAGTTAAACAGCCAGCTCTACACTTGCCCCTAAGGATGCAGAGTTCTAAAGAGTAACGGCAGTCTGGTCAGCAAGTGTAAGACACCTGCTTGAATGTGAAGATATCTGAGGCATTTAAGCAAAGGCAGAAAGCTTTAAAGGCGGAGGACAGAAATTTAAGAATTTAGCCAAAAAATACAAAGTGAGCTAAACTAAACTTGGCTGAAGCAGCTAATGTTTCCCAGATAAGTCAGACTCATAGGTTTACTGTACACATTCAATAAATTAAAGCAGTATTCATCAATGAGCTATATAAAATTATTTTGTTATTAATTATTACTTTTCATGAAAGAGTGATTTATTTTCTGGTGTATCAAATATTTACCACGTCTGCTCCAAAAGAATGAAATCACCATCTAGTGACAATTATAGACATTGGTCCATGTGGCCCATGAAAAATTCCAGGGTTTAGATTTGATCATGCAGTATGTTACACAGAAAGCATATAGAGAGAAGTAAATACTCTATGTAAAGTATTTTAAAGGTACTTGTGATATCTAATATTAATTTTAACATAAAATATCATCTCGAAAAATATAGACTCATTTTCTAGATTACCAGGCTTAGCAAGCAAGAGTTCATACTTATAGGTTAAAAGTCTTCTAACTTGCTAATGAATCAGTATCCTGTACTATCTCATGATCTCAATTTCCCACACCTAAAGGACAGACAGTAATATCCTATGTGTGTCATGAACACATATTGAATACAGTCTTAAAATGATATATGACATTCTTTGGAATTTCAAGACACATCCTTGTAAAGCTTAAGATAAGTAACTTTCAATTAAAAAATAAAAATAAAGCACTGTATCATCTTTGAACCAAAAGCAGTAGATATGAAGTCATGGTGGTACTTACCACAGTGAAATTCATCACTTTCAATATCCATATTGTCATGGCTAAGTTAACTATCATGGTAACCAACAGCAGAAGGACAAAGAAGTATAAGCACCTCTTTCGCCATCCATAAATCCCCACTGGGTAAAGTTGTGCATTCTCAGCCCTTGGCAGGTTGTTCTGCTGTGTTGCTAGTATATATTGTTCTCGTGTCATCTGGAAAAAAAAAAAAAAAAAAGAAAGAAAGAAAGAAAAGAAAGAAAAGAAGCATTCAAAACTAAAACCAATGATTTTTTTTAAATCAAAAGATACAACACATTTACAAATGATGGGTAGTGAGTGTTCAAAGAATTATTGCTGTGTAACTAAAATTAGATTAGACTTGATTAAAATCTTACAAAGCCCCTCACATAACATTATCAGTGCTGCTTTTTAGTGCTGTTTTACTCTGAATTTTCTAAGATATATGTTATTTTCAGTAACATTTACCCAATTCTAACAGTAGTTTTTTTCTGTTTTTTTGTTTTGTTTTGTTTTGTTTTTCCAAGGAGACTCTGAAGACGCTCATCTCTACTCCCAGGTATCTATAACTTAAAATTCTATGCACATCCCAGCTACTCTTGGAATACATGTCACCTGTTCTTTAGGGTAGACAGAGACCAAATGTATCACAAGGCATTTCTGTACCTTTATCTAGATATGGGGTATCAGGGCTCAGGGTATATGTTTTAATAAACTGTAAATGCATTTGAAAGAACCTATGGGAAGAAAATATACTTTTATTGACAATTATATAGATATAGCTATTTAATTAATATTTTTACTTAGAACTTTGCTGGTTATTTATTTTAGTTATAATCAATGTGTTCTCAAAATAAATTTGATCTCTAAAAAAAGAAGACACTATACTGTACTATTTTGTTATATAATATTATATAACATATTGATACACATAGAAGTCAGTTTTGGAAAAGAGGTGGTAGTATTCCTTGGTAATATATAAATTTAGTTTTTAAGTTAATTCTTTCAAAAAGCAAATACATTAGTTTCTGCTAGATTCTACCAAGAAGTATGGTTAAGTAAAGGATATGGGGCACCTGGGTGGCTCAGTGGGTTAAGCCTCTGCCTTCGGCTCAGGTCATGAACCCAGCATCCTGGGATCGAGCCCTGCATTGGGCTCTCTGCTCAGTGGGGAGTCTGCTTCCCTTTCTCTCTCTCTCTGCCTACTTGTGATCTCTGTCTGTCAAATGAATAAATAAAAACCTTTAAAAAAAATGAATTTTGAAATGATCATACAGTTTTAAAAAAAAAAAAAGGGACGCCTGGGTGGTTCAGTTGGTTAAGTGGCTGCCTTCCGCTCAGGTCATGATCCCAGTGTCCTGGGATCGAGTCCTACATCGGGCTCCTTGCTCAGCAGGAAGCCTGCTTCTCCCTCTGCCTCTGCCTGCCACTCTGTCTGCCTGTGCTCACTCTCTCTGACAAAAAAAAAAAAAAAAAAAAGTAAAGGATATGTACTAGGCATACAATTTTTAGAATAACTTATTATCCGAAGAATAAAAACTTTAATTTTTGCAAAATATAATTTTCTACAAGGCAGTAAGTTTTTTAGTTTAGTTTTTTCTCTTTAGATTTCATCAGATTTCTTTTATTGTTCATGTCAATTAAACAATACAAGAACAGAAATCATGCTGAATAAATACACCAAAATAAAAGCAACATCATGAAGAATTAAAAATTATCTGTCAAGTAATATAAAATACCGGCATATCTCATTGTATTGTGCTTTACAGGTACTGCATTATTGACAAATTGAAGATTTGTGGCAACCTTGAGTCAAGCAAGTCTATCAGTGCCATTTTTCCAAAGGCATTTGTTCATTTTGTATATCTCTCTGTCACATTTTAGTAATTTTCACAATGTTTCAAGATTTTTCGATTATATTTTTCATGGTGATCTATGATCAGTGATCTTTGATATTACTAATAATTTTGGCGAGGGGGGCACCATGAACCACACTTATGAAAGGTGATGGCTTTACTGACATTTGTGTGCGTTTTGACTGTTCCACACCGTGGCCCTTCGCCCTCTCTCTCCTTTTCCATCCTGTCTTTTACCTGAGACACAACAATATTGAAATTAGGCCCATCAAAAACCCTGCAGTGACTTGCAGGGATGAGCATCAGGTACTGTACGGAATTGTTAAATTACTATATTTATTGTACACCTGAAACTAGTATTACACTCTATGTTAACAGGAACTTAAATAAAAAAAAACTTAAACAAAGGAAAAACCCTGTAATGGTCACTAAGTATTCAAATAAAAGGAAGAGTTGCATGTTTCACTTTAAATCAAAAGCTAGAAATGACTAAGCTTGGTAAGGAAGGCCCATCTTCTTGGGCCAAACAGTTAGCCAAGATGTGAATGCAAAGAAACAGTTATTGAAGGAAATTAAAAATGCTATTCCAATAAACAGATGAAGGTTAAGAAAGCAAAACAGCCTTATTGTTGATATGGAGAAAGTCTTAGTGGTCCGGATAAAAAAGTCAGAGCAGCCACAACATCCCCTTAAGCCAAAGCCTAATCCAGAGAAAGGTCCTAACTTTCTTCAGTTCTCTGGAGGCCAATAGAGGTGAGGAAGCTGCAGAAGAAAAGCTGGAAGCTAGCAAGGGTGGGTCATGAAGTTTAAATAAAAAGCCATTTCCAAAACATAAAATTGCAAGGCAAAGCAGCAAGTGCTTATGTAGAAGCTGTACCGAGTTATCTGGAAGACCTAACTATGATAACTCATGAGGGTGGCTACACTCAGCAACAGATTTTTCAATGTAGATGAAATAGCCTTCTGTTGGAAAAAGACACTATTTAGGATTTTCATATCTAGAGGGAAGTCTGGCTTCAAAGCTTCAAGGGAGACTGACTCTCTTGTTAGCGGCTAATGCAGCTGGTGACTTTAAGTTGAAGCCAATGCTCATTTATCAATTCCAAAAATCCTAGAGCCCTAGAGAATTATGTTAAATCTATTCTGCATATACTCTGTAAATGGAGCAACAAAGCCTGGAGATTGCATATATATTTACAACATGATTTAGTGACTATTTTAAGTCCATTGTTGAGAACCACTGCTCACAAAAGATTATTTTCAAAATATTACTGCTCATTGCCAATGCACTTGGTCATTCAAATGCTTTGATGGAGATGTACAACCAGATTAAAGTTGTTTTCATGCCTGTTAACACAACATCCATTCTTCAGCCCATGAATAAATGAGTAATTTGACTTCCAAGTCATATTATTTAAGAAATACATTTCATAAGGCTAGGTGTTATAGACAGTGATTCTCCTGATGGATCTGGGCAAAATAAACTGAAAACCCAGAAAGGATTCACCATTCTAAATGTCATTAAGAACATTCAGGATTCATGGGAAGAAGTCACAATATCAATATGAACAGGAGCTTGGAAGAAGTTGATTTAACCCTCATGGGTTTGAGAGGTTCATGAGTTCAATGGAGGGAGTAGCTGCAGTTGTGGAAACAGCAAGGGAACGAGAACGAGAAGTGGAGCCTAAAGATGGGACTGAATTGCTACAATCTCATGATCAAACGTGAACGGATGAGGGATTGTTTCTTATGGCTGAGCAAAGAAAGTGGTTTCTTGAGATAAAATCTCTTCCTGGTGAAGAGACTGCGAAGATTGTTGCAATGACAACAAAGGATTTAGAATATTATATAATTTAGTTGATAAAGCAGCAGCAGGCTTTGTGAGGACTGACTTCAATTTTGAAAGAAGATTTACTGTGGATAAAATGCTAAAAAATAGTCCTCTACACCACAGAGAAATCAGTTGTAAAAGGAAGAGTCAATGGATGCAAAAGACTTCTCTGTTGTCTTATTTTAAGAACGTGCCAACCCAGTCTTCAGTAACAACCATCATGACCAGTCAGCAGCCATCAACTTTGAGGCATGATCCTTCACTAGCAAAAAGATTACATTTCATGGTAAGCTCAGATGATGTTTAGCATATTAGAGCAATAAAGTATTTTTAATTAAGGTATGCACATTATTCTGTTAAACATGTTAATGCACAATTAGTAGACTACAGTATAATATAAAATAATTTTTATATGCACTGGCAAACTGAAAAATTTATTTAACTCACTTTATCAAAATATTTGCTTTATTGTGGCATTCTGGAATGGAACCTGCCATATTTCTGAGGGATGCCCATATATGTTATGTAAAATATGTAACTTAAGAGTATAAGTTATAGTGTTTATTGAGCCAACCCTCTTCTAAATAAAATGTGGAACTGCATATTGATAAATGCAAATGTCCAAATTTTTTTTGGCTTTTTCCCAATTTGTTTTAATTTTAGAGCTTTAGCTTTAAATTACCTTAATACAAACTGAGGGTTTTGGAGGGGGGTGGTGAGCGGTTGGATGAGCCTGGTGATGGGTATTATGGAGGGCACGTATTGCATGGAGTACTGGGTGTGGTGCATAAACAACGAATTTTGGAACACTGAAAAAAAAATAAAATAAAAGGAAATCAAACAAACAAAAAATTATCTTAATGCACTATTAAACTTTCAAATTTTTTATGAAGAGCATTATGCTCCATATAATAAAAATCCTTGCATATGTTAAATCAGAATTCTAAATGAATTAGAAGTGCTAATAATACTGGATGATAAAGAGCACATTCTTTCATGACATAAAGAATTACCTGTTTGTTAAATGTCATAAGGTAAATATTTCATGTTTCCTTGATACTAGTCTCAATCCTTAGTCTTGAATGAGATTCCTATTTCAAGGGGTGATATACAACATATTAACTACTGTGTAATATGTTACAACAGATGACCGTATGCCATGGGAATTTACTTTGCCTGAGGATTTGGTGGAGATCTTATAGTGCTAACAGCAGTTATGATTACAAAGCAGAAAATATATTAGAAGAAGAAGATAGAAGGAATCTAAGGACAACCACCATTGAAAGGAAGAATAAGGAAGGCATAAGAAAAGGAAGTACATGGTTGTAGAAGAAGGGCATGAGAGAGCAGAAGCCTGGCTATGCCTGATTGGCAGGTAGAAGACTTTGCCTTGTGTAGCTCCTCTGTGAAAAGGCACAAAAGCTGGGACTATTTAGATCATGCATTGCCTTTCATCTCACATTAAAGCAAAGTTCTTTCTCAAATATTCTATTTCTACTAATTATACT